GCCTGGCCGGCCAAGTGATCCCGGGCCACTCTGGTAGCCTTAGCTTATTACGAATTAGTCCTAATTTTTAATTACGGAGTCAATACTGACTACTCAACTATTGTACATTTTTTAATTTAAAATTATTGTCAATTAGTTCAATTATTTGTTGTTTGAACTTTGAACTTGATTCAGAGTTCAAACTGATGATTGAGATAATTGAATCATTAGATTCATTACTGTTATTTTATTTTGTAAATGGAGAAACCATGTCCCTGAGGATTATCAAACAGCATACGCTCTGCTTCTCTCTTTTTTTTTTTTTTTTAGTTGGCAGAAACACTGGTGCTCTCTACCAAAGCTCTGTTGTGAGCATGTACTGAATTTTGATCTCAGCAATGTCAGCATTTACAAACACTCTGCGCGTACCCACACTAGGACTTTTTCTACTTAACTCTGGACGAGATTTCGGGTGGGAAGGGATTCATACAGGTCCAGCCGTAATTGCAGTCAGATACATTTAGCCTGATTTAGGGAAGTTCTAGCGTGAGCATGTCCTTGATGTCCTCAATGTCCCATACTCGCACTACCGTCTTCACCCGAATAGAACCCCCGGTAATTATCGCCGTATCTGGGCTGAAAGTTGTGCCAAATACAGCTATAATGACCGGGCGTTCTCTTCCGGTGAAGACGGTAGCCCTTTTTCTATGTAGCTGTGGACGTGATTTCGGTCGGATTCATCTAGGCCCCGCCGTAGTTACAGTCACAATCTGTCAGATACATTTCGCATGATTTAGGGAAGTTCTAGTACGAGTATACCCTCAATGTCCTCGAGGAACCAAACAATGCGAACACAAGCCATCCGTCTAATACCCCTACTACTTTGATAAAGTTCGATGTGACCGCCTACACTACTCTCCACTCCTTCTGAACAAGGTTGCTGAACAGTCTGCTCACGCATGTTCCCCTCACCAACAGCAGGCAAGAAGCACTCCCGTCTTCAACCGAGTAGAACGCCCAGTCACTATCGCTGTATCTAGAGGGGCGGCGGTCGTTCTATTCGGGTGAAGACAGTAGTTCCCTTTGTCGTCCTCCTCTTCCATGACCTCCCCCTACTCCAACACCTCACCACCCAGTTTGCCCAGCTATGGCAGGCGCTGGTCTCACAGCCACCGCAGTCCCTTCCTCTCGCCTGGGAGCTATCTTGCCCGTATCCGGTGGTGGTCCACAGCTGCTGCATGCTGCCAATGCGACAATGTGCTCTCACAAGCGTCCTCCCTCCTCTTGTCTCTTCTGAAGGCTGCAGTCTGGGTCCCAGTAGGCAGTCCCAACTGCCTACCGGTCTGAGACCAGGTCCCTCTGGCTCGGCCTTTACTTAGGAGCGGCCTCTTCTTTTTCTCAGGCGCGCCTTCACTTAGGAGCCGCCTGGCAATTTTCACAGGGGACCCGCCTGGGCTCACCGCCTGAAGCTTAACACACTTGATATCCAAGCACAAATTGGGGAGAGACGTCACTCTCCTTCCTCTATTTTTGGACAATCCTGGGACTCGGTTGGCAGCATAGCACAGCATAACACAGACACAGCAGATAATATCATAATACATTAAAAAAAAAAGAAAAAAAAAAAAGAGGAAGAGCTGCACAGCAGTACAATATACCGTCTGCCTACCAGCTTTATCCACTTGACAAGCACAGAGAAAGGGAAAAAGTCCGGGGAAAAAACAAAACAAAAAAAGACTGATAAAACAAAAAGCATGATTTCGGCTTATACTAGAGATAGAATGTGTGACATTTGTGACATGTGTGACATGTGTGACATGTGTGACATGTGTGACATGTGTACCTTCAACCTCTTCCCAACGTTCTTGCTGTCTATTCAATTCTCTTGAACAACTGTCTTCAGCAGAGCAGAACGAACAATTCCTTTTTTTTATCCAAATATTTGGTGGACAAATAATAATTTCAAAAGAAGAGTTTGGGACCAAGCCGGCATATCAACCACAGCACTAGAAGACAAAACCCACTCATAGAACACCGCGTAAGCGTACCTTGATATTCTTTGCAGTTGCCAGTTGATCTTCTACAGTTCTGGCCAGCCTTGCCGCATGTGCGCAGAGTTCAAAGTGAACCTACAAAATTGAGTTGCATGCACATAAAGTCAGAAATGAACTGCATACTGCACAGACATCTTTTTTTGGTCTTGTTCCCCCAAGCAGGGACTGCACAGACGCAACTTGACGAGGACAGGGTTACAATATATGAATCTTTAAAACATGGCCTCCTCCGTTATTCCTCAGGTGAGCGAGAGCAAAACAGGAAGGACACTCGTGTGTGTGTGTGTGTGTGTGTGTGTGTGTGTGTGTGTGTGTGTGTGTGTGTGTGTGTGTGTGTGTG